TCAACTGCGCACCCATCGCCGACGCCGCGCGCGCGACGTCGCCGCGCGCGAACGCGAACGCGCGCGCGGTCGAACGCGAACGCGGTCGAACGCGAACGCGAACGCGCGGCGACGTCGACGAGTCGACGCGTCGGCGGCGCGGCGAGCACGGACGCGCGATTCGTCTCGCGAACGACGAAAGGTGTTGCGAAGACATCGACGGCGATGACCCCGCGCGCGTGGACCAGAGACGAAGCCACGCCGTTGTTGCGACGACGTGGCGATGGCGGCGATGGCTCGCGCGCGTGGGGCGGGCGAATCGCGTGGATCGTCGCGATCGCGGGCGCGATGGGATTCGCGGCGACGCGCGAGGCGCGAGGCGGGACGGTTTTTGCAGCCGGGCTGGGACTCCACGCGCGCGCCGCGGAGCGCGGTGTGCTCGTCGAGTTCACCGGCGTGGTTGGCGCGACGACGGACGACAAACTCGGGTACCTGCGACGCACGAAGGGTGGGAGCAACTGGAAACAGGCCGGCGCGTACAGCGCGCGGGCCATCACCAAGGTTGACGACGAAGTCCGCGGCGTCTCCGCTGACTGCGCCACGAATAACAAGCGCGTGATGTTTGGTTTGACGAATAACGCTGCCGACAAGGACCACGACTTCAACTCTATCGACTTCGCCATTTACTGCGACCAACAGCACACGAGGGCGATCGTGTACGAGCGTGGCCAGAAGAAGGCTGTCATCGGCAGCTTCGCGTCCGGAGAGACGTTCCAGGTGGCGCTCAACGATGAAGGCGCGGTCGAGTACTACAAGGATGGCGAGTTGGCGTACACCAGTGCGAACGCGCCGGCGTTCCCGATGTACGTGGACGTGGCGCTTCACACCAATGGCGTCGTTCTTGAGAACGTGCGCTGGGTACAGAAGATCGTCGAAGGCGCAGATAACCTTGAACTTGTTGAGTTTTCACCGCCTTCGGGCTCAAACTCCACGACCATCCCGGGCACCATTTCGAACATTCCCTCAAGGCGCTCGCTCAGAGCCAAGATCGAAGAAGAAGCAAAGATGGTTGCTTACGCAACGAGCAGAGATTCCATCAACGGCACGAATACGACAAGGAGCGGTGTTTCTGCTGATTGCTCTGATAACAAATCAAAAATGATGTTTGGTCTGTCTTTGAATCGCACGGTGAACGAAAGTCTGAGCTTCGCTGTTTACTGCAACAACGGTACTCTCCAAATCTTGGAAGATGGGGTCATTGTGAAATCGATCGATCCTCGGAACGATGGACATTGCATACCTCGACCTGGACTAAACGGACGTAGACCAGACGAACTCAACGGACCACAACCCAATGGACCTCACCCGGATGAACCACAACCAGATGGACCGCAACCCAATGGACCGCAACCCAA